GGGGGGGTTCCATGAAAGTAGCTGAATGTTAAATAAAGATTGGAAGAGCCTTCATATATCAAATGAATTTTACGGCCAGTAAATAGTAATTACACATAAATCATAAATGTCTAAATGTGAAGGGATTTCAGGCTGCAGGCACCTGAGAGTCCGCCACTGAGGCCCCAAAGTTCCGGAAGTCTCCAAGCCCCAAGCCCCAGCAGGGTAGGTCCAGTACCCGGCAGAAAGGGGCGTCCCAGGTCGGGCCTAGGTCTAAGCCATAGCTTAGAAGGGGCGTGCTAGGTCTAAGTCGGGCCTATGTCCAGAAAATTCGAGTCAGCTTATAGTCAGTCCTATACCCGACAGAAAGGTCCCGAAAGTCCAGTCCAGTCTCCAAGTCCACAAAAAATACAGTGAAGTAATACATGGGGTGATCGGTCAATTAGCCTTTGTATATCAGTGAAGTAATACATAATCTCAGTAATAAATCACATAATCTTATACAAATGAATCGCGGCAGTCAAGCTCAAGCGTAGAGAAATACTCGAAGAAATCCATCACATTATTTTCAACATATGATATGACACCATATAGTGATAGAGAACTGCGCTCCGAAGCGTAGCCAGACGGGGAGAAAAGGACCAAAAAACGGAGGGCTATGACACTGTTTCGTCGGAGTTCCAGGGACTCGTCACGAGGCTGAACGAACAGCAGTCATGTATGCAAAGCAGCATAGATGGATATGGGACTCACTCCACGACTGAACATTCTACATGCAATTTGACGCCTTTGTGAACCAGGTGCATTCGGAGGAGTCCAACATGTCGAATGTATCTATGCAATTATTCAGCTCCAGGTACACATAGTGATGTGCAGTGGAGCCAGGCCCAATTAATAACCTGCTGTGGCAGTGTCTTTACTTATGTTCTTTTTTTGTCTTCAGCCTCTTACATGTTACGTTAAACTCTTTGGCCCGAATCAAACGTACTGTCATTATAGCCGTATTTGGACTGAAAGTTGCACCAAATACCCAACACTAATGACCGTACGTCCTTATTGGCGGGAAGACGGTAGTTCAGGGGACAAGTCCCACTAACCTAGAGTCCTCCGTTGTGCCATTGATAATTGCAATAAGGGTTAGTGGGAAACGACATGTCCCATGAGCCACCGTCTGGCCCCGAATAGAACATGCAGCAAGGTTGCATACCTGCCAACCACCGACCCAGACCGCTGACCGTTTTGCAGCCGCCGACCAGTCAGAAAACAGCCATCCACTGATTTTTTATCAGATCTGAGTTGGGGGCCGTACTGCGCTTGCCGAGTACAGCCCAAATCCGCTGAGAAACTTTTGGGGATTGGGGGGGGGGGGTATGGGGGGGGGTATAGGCGCTGTCTCTTATACACATCTAGATGTGTATAAGAGACAGTCACAAGAGAGAGCTACATTGGGTTATGATATTGGTGTTGCCCTGTTGGGCTTGGACATTGACTCACGATTCGTCTGTATCATTCTCAATTGGATGGTTACTCGGTACCATTGTGCTATCTGCTCT